ATGGGATTTCCGTAACCTCAAACGCCATATCCTCCCTACCGTCCGAAGTCAGAGTACGAACCAAGCCCGTGGAAAAGAAGGCTTTCAACTTTTGGGCTGGCATACCCCACGAAGTTCGAATCCATATCTTTTCGTATTTCCGGCCCAAGGAGTTGGTACGGATATCTAGAGTCAGCAAATCCTTTTACGGGTTCTGCTTTGACGGCCAGCTGTGGACATCGATTGATGCCTCGGAGTTTTATCAGGAAATTCCTGCTGCGTCGCTGGCACGCATCATCGCCGCCGCTGGCCCCTTTGTCAAAGACTTGAACTTGAGAGGATGTGTTCAGGTTGAGCACTACAAGCGCACCGAAGTCATTGTCAAGTCGTGCAAGAATCTTATGAATGCGACGCTCGAAGGTTGCCGGAATTTCCAAAAGCACACTCTCCACAATCTTCTAAGGAGCAATGAAAAGCTAGTTCACCTGAATTTGACGGGGCTTGCGGCGGTGACAAACACGTCCTGCAAAATCATTGCAGAGTCGTGCCCTCAACTGGAGAGCTTCAATGTTTCATGGTGCCAGAAGGTGGAGGCTCGTGGTATCAAGACAATCATCGACTCGTGTGCGAAATTGAGGGACCTCCGTGCCGGCGAGGTAAAAGGGTTTGATTGCCTCGCCACGGCAGAGTCAATTTTCAACACAAATCGGCTGGAGAGGCTGGTCCTCAGCGGATGCGCCGAGCTCAATGATGAGGCGTTGAAGATTATGATGCAAGGGGTCGATCCTGAAATCGACATACTCACAGGCCACCCCGTGGTTCCGCCTCGGCGGCTTCGCCACCTGGATCTGAGCCGCTGTATCAGACTAACAAGCGCAGGTGTCAAGGCGATTGGCCATGTGGTGCCAGATCTGGAAGGCTTGCAGCTTTCAGGGTGCAAGGCGTTGACCGATGCGGCGCTTGAGCCTATTCTTGCCTCAACACCAAGACTCACTCATCTCGAACTGGAAGATCTTGACGAGATCACCAACTCTCTTCTCTCCGAACATCTTGCCAAGGCACCTTGCGCTGGCAACTTGGAGCATCTCTCTCTGAGCTACTGCGAGAATATTGGAGACTTGGGAATGCTTCCGGTCATGCAGAAGTGCGTACGGCTGAAGAGTGCCGACCTCGACAATACGAAGATCAGCGATTTAGTTCTCGCAGAAGCCGCCTCAATGGTCATCAAGCGTTCCAAACCAGCCTCAACAGGCGAGGTCCGCCCAAAAATTACGCTACGCTTGGCAGTATACGATTGCCAAAATGTTACCTGGACAGGCATTAGAGAGATTTTGTTCAGAAATTCCCAGGTTCGACCGGCCACAGGACAACCTGGCGGGATCACCTACCCAACTGAGGCTATTGGGCTGAAATGCTTCTACGGCTTCCAGATGACGGTCGATGAGCACCAAAAGAGAGTTCTCCGGGGCGACCTTATCGCTGCCGGTAGACTGGAGAGGAAATGGGCAGACTACATGCAGGCAAACGAAGAAGCCGGTGCGGGAGGAGCCGGATATCGGAGGCGCCGACGTCGAGCAAGGCACGCCCAAGCTCTTCATGCGGATGAAGAGGATGGGGGAATTGTCGGCCGCCGCAGAGCAAGGACATTGGGATCTTGCTCTGTAATGTGAATGATGCGGATCAAGATGGCATGTTGGTCTAAAAATTATGAATGTATGATCATCTCGTTCGGCTCATCTACTCTGAGGGTGGATTTTGTTGGGGTTTTGCGCAAAAGAAGGGAAACAACCCAAAGGCTTTCATCTAGCCTGGTTTCTTCCTTTTTCTTTCTCTTTTGGTTTATTTCGCTGGCTGCATACGGCGGTGGCGTTGTTCGAATGCCACAAGGCACGGGTGTTGATGTTTCGGGAGTAGAACATACAGGAGATGACAAAGTGGGACATGGGAGTTGGTTTGGGCAATGTCTCTTTGGTTTTTTTTCTCTCTCTCTCTTCCATTTTTTCCTATTTCAAACTTGCAAACAACCCAACTTTCCGGCGGCGGTCGAGATTGGGCGCTCCTCTGAGATGACATGATGTCGGCTGTGGGCAGGACCCCCCCTTTCGGCCTATGAGTGCAACAGGATTGCTTGGATGTCCAGAGGATCGATCTAGACCTGCCAGCGCCGTCTATGAATGTGCTGCAAGCTGCGATTAGTTTGATGCAAATAGATTGATTCTGCTATGCATGGCTACTTGTCATTGATGCTCTGCCATGTGTCAGTTGGTCTCTGGATGTTCACGCAGGCCGGCGGCGGTCAGCTACACACACAAAGAGGGTGCTTATTATGGGATGAGTATGCAGGGGAGAGACAACTTCGTATTGAGCAGCCCGAGGGAGGCTGGATTATGCAGCCCGGGGCATGGAAAACTCGGTGTGGGCATGTACTTGTTTGAGTGGTGGTGTAAGTGCTGGCGAGGACGACAAAGCGGCGTCGTATCAGCCCAGCCCGCCCCTACAGTACTTTTCTAGGTGCGTTGACTTGCTACTGTAGCATCTCGACAATACAAGGCAAACGTTTTCTACACATGTTGTCCCTTTTCAGAAGCCATCCCATCTTTGACTAGTACCAATTCGAAGTGAATAGCATTAGTATTGATGCTAGTTCCCTCGCCTCACCATGCTAGAGAAACCACTTGGATCCAGATCCACGTGGGTGTGAGGAATTCTTAAATCCAGGCCTATTTTAGGCCCCGAGACTTGTTGTTCCGCGGAAGTAGGTTCGCCGCTGTCGAAGTGATGGGAGAGCAACAAGAGAAGCTTGTCACATTTCACCTTCCATGTCTGATGCATTTACTTGCATGTACCTAGCAGCGGGCGAAGGCTGGGCCGGACCCCAGTCGCACTGTGTACGAGCGCCGCCTCTGTCCTGTCTCTTGACAACAGAAAACTTGGAATTGGATGTGTGGAGAAGGCGATTGATTGAAAATGACGAGGCGATTGATGATAATCGGCGTCGTCTCTTGTCATTGATGAGACGAGGGGTGACTGACCCTTTGGCCGGAGCATCTTCTTGCACCTCGCTTAGGTGCTTGCATTGCTTTGCTGGCCCTTTGGGAGAGCGATGATGGATGTGAGTAGAGTCGCATCAGCATTAGCATTCGCAGGACCACCATGTAGACGCAATGCAAGCATCCCAAGTTACAGACGGCAGTGATTGGTGGCTCATCCAGATGCAAATGATTTTGAGCTTCTCACCGGCGTGGAGACCAACCCCCCCCCCCCCAGAAGGCCCTTTTTGAGGCACGTACTCGTAACACGCAGATGCAAGCCATGGATGATGGAGACATGGATTAGATGGAGGGGGGGGGAAAGGCTTCCAAGAAACAACGGCCAATAGTCACCGAGGACCCGCACGTGTGTGTGACGAAAACAAAAAACAAAAAATAAAAAATAAAAAATGCAGATGCAGATGTTTTCTTTCTGGGTTCGTATTCTTTTGCATCTTGCTTCCCCCTTTTTAGTCTCTGGCCTTTTTCCCGGGTACTCGTTGCTGTGAAGATGTTTTTTTTTCAGGTGCGGGATAGGATAGGCTCGCATTGCATGCCTTGCAAGCAAGCGTTTTGGTGGCTGCACGATCCCTGCGACCGGTGAAGGACAAGCGAGGCGAGTGTTTGCTTTTTTCTTTTCTTTTTCCTTGCTTTTTTTTGCTTTTTGTTGATCCACCGACTTTTTGTTTCCCTGTTCTTGATTCTTTTCGCATTGATGCAATTGGACTGATCCATGTTATCGTACATCTAGTAGGTACATGTACATGCCTGTATGAGGGACGCTGAGCACAAGTCACTGGGCACAGGCCACACGCAGAGGCCGATCCAGTTCCATTGAAATTTCCATCATCTAAACTCGCCCCGGCGCCACACAATATCTTAGTGTATACCTTTAATCTGTTTGAAACTCGATTGCTGAAGAAAGCCAACGGGCTTGAGGCCGTTCTCTAGCCAGATCCTCAACAGGCTAAGAAATAGGAATCCTCACTATAATACCAAGACAGTTGGTGTGGCTCGGCTAAGTCTACCAGAAACGGCAGTCTCTCTATTCTAGGTAGCCTGCAAGCTGAAGATTGCTTTTGCGACTCAGGTACTTTAGCGCTCCTTACGAGTACCTCATTCGTACCTGTACCTTGTCGAGGTGCCAGCCTCGCCGCTGTACTATGGATAATGTCCCGTGCTTCCGCGGAGGATTTTGCATAGAGGGCACGTAATAAGTTGTAGCTTCAAGAGGGCGTGTGCGGACCAGACGTGAAGGAGAAAACAAGAGTAGTACACGCATCGTGTGCAAAGGCCTCAACTGGTTTTGGGGTGATACAGCATCATGCCGGCCGTATTACTGGACGAGCAAGGCAAGGTACGGGATGGGGGGATGTGTACATGGCCGGTACTAGCCGTTGCCTCCTCTGGAAATCAGCCAGTAATAACACCAGAACCTTGATTATTCTGACTGTCCCAACGCCCAACTGGACATCCATTATGTACCATCCATTCTTTATTCTAGAACAGGCACAACACCCTCCATTATCTTAGTAGTTTGTCCATTCATTGAGTTAAGCGTCCAGTTTGATTTTCATTTCCAATCCAATGGCATTCTCAACACGCTAACAAGCATTGTAATTGTAACAAGGCTCACTGCTACTCAACTCGGCACCACTACTAATCCTGTCCCACCAGCCGCGGCAAACGGGTGCAGTCTTTGAGCCCCACGGATCTCAGCCTGGCTGCTGGCAGAAATAATCCCGAGGCACCAGCAAGTGGCAGCTGGGTGTCCAAAGTCGCACAATCTCTGTCCTGCGCCTCTGTCCGTGCTGCTTCTGTTTTCTTGTCGTGAGGGCGATTTTCATGGCCTGAGCAGCCCCCAGATCCGAGATTAGATTTCCACCTCGGGGTACATCATCTCGCATGCAGAACAAAGAGAAAAAAAAACGGATGCTCGTGCTTGTAAACACAGACGCAACATACCTAACGCAACGTCCCTCCTCCCCAAACATGCCTCTCGAGACAATCTACGTCGTCCGCCATGGGGTAAAGTTGTACCCTTTTTCCTTTTTCCTTTTTCTGATTTTTTTTTTTTTTTTTTTTTTGATTTTTTGATTTTTTGATTTTTTGATCCCCTCACCCCCCCTTGCACTGCAGACAATGGCGTCACGAGGCTGAGGGCTCTTGTATTGACCGTTGCTATTGTCAACGCCAGTTCCGGTCTAGTTGGTCCGTCGACCACACCACAGGAGTGTATTCAGCTTCGATCCCATCACCAACAGGAATCGCGGTGGACCCGGCCCTCACCGCCCACGGGGTCGATCAGTCGAGGCAGCTCGCCCAGCATCTCATGACGATGGACCCCCCCGTGGACGTTGTGTACTCGAGCCCCTACTACCGCTGCCTGCAGACCATCACCCCCTTTGTCGAGCTCCGGCAGCAGCAGCAGCAGCAGCAGCAGCAGAGGCAGCAGAGGCACGCACACGCACACGCACACAGCCAGCATGGCGAGAGCACGAGCTTGAGCTTGAGCACGAGTGTCGGCAGTGGCAGTCACAGTCACAGTCACAGTCACAGTGATGCCGCCACCATGATACGGCCTGAACACGGAATCTGCGAGTGGTTCGGTTCCGCTCCGTTTGAGCATCCCGGCCCAGCCTCACCCTCACTCCTCAAATCCTTGTTCCCTGCCTTTGACGAGAGCTACGTGTCGGCGCAGTATCCTCCCAGGAGGGGCGAGACGCTGGCCCAGCTGCAGGCCAGGCTTACGGCCACGATGCAGAGTATCATTGATCGCTGCGACGCTGAAGATAGACGAGCCGTTGTGCTGTGCACTCACGCCGCAGCCGTCATCATGTTGGGCCGCATCCTCACGGGCGAGTTCCCCGAGACTGTAGATGCCGATGACTTTCACGCTTTTACCTGTGGGCTGAGTGTCTTTCGCCGGAAGAAAGTCGACAATCGGGATCGAGGAAAGGGGGAGTTGCCCGACAAAGAGCCCAACCCTAGTGCTGCTGCTGCTGCTGCTGGTGTTGTTGGAGGTTGGTCATGTGAGGCCAACAGTGACTGCAGCTTCTTGGCCGGCGGCGAAGAGCGAGGCTGGTACGTAGAACAAGTAAAAGTTTGTTCACTTCGAGAGCTATGCTGATGGCGTAATTGCCGGGTGTTAGGAAGTTCGTAGGGGACGAGGAGTTTCCAGACACAGGCTCCATGTCTCAAGCTGCGAGTACATCTGAGTCCAAGCTGTAACGAAAGGCTCGGGGATCAACAAGCAGTCAATGCAGTACATCCATGATATGACGACTTGCAAAGCCCCAAGTACAAACAAGGGTTTGAGGGGGGGAGGAAAAGGGCTGCCTATTCGCGGACGACCCTTGATGGGTTGTGACGTTGACTTGGCCCGGATGATACACGTTTTGTCGGTAGAGTATTATTAGATTTCGTCACGGGAATCACACCGCGTGGCAAAGTTGCTCCTAGATAAAAAACGACATGATCATCAGAACGGCCGTGCATGGTGCGACCCGCGAATTCCCTTGTTGATTGCCTCGTTAGGTCGACCTCACCTGTTAGACTCGAGCCGCTTTTGGACAATTGCGGACAAACACACACGCAAGGCAGAGGGACCATGTACCTTTACACTGCGTCTGGGAGAGGGAGAGAGAGAGAAGCCCCCCACGAAAGGCCCTTCGGATCGTAGCCCTACCAGGTCGGAAAGATGCTCCTCGCAGTCCATTCCGAGAAAGGACCGTCTGCTGGCCCTTGCACTGCAGTCTTGACGGGCTCTACGGAGTACTTGTCTCTCTATACTATGGGCATCTACGATCTGATTTCACTCTGTACTCGGGCACCCGGGCAATGGTTCCGTCTAGGCGCTGGGACACCGCAGTATGAGGCACAGGCCGTGCTGCAATTTTGAAGAAGACGCCACCTCTTCCCCCCGGCAAGTTGATGGACCATGTCTCAATGGATAGCTATCCTTCAATTTACGGAGTAAAGTGGCCAAAAGGACCTTTTTTTCCCCACCACGGCTTGGAGCAGGGAGAATCACGAAGCAACGCCACAAAGTGATTTCCGACAGCAACTTGGGCTAATGAAAGGGCATTTCTCGTGGAGGAGGGGAGGGTCCCAACACCAGAAGAACGCGAGACATGACTTCGTGATTGGTCTCTTTTGCTTTCTTTTCTTTTTTTTACACAAAAAAAAAAACCGGAATCTGCCTAACATCTAGTCTAGGGTTTTGCTCAGCACTTCCCCTCGTCCTGATTTGCAGTCAAGGAGATTTGAAGCTCCTGATGGCGATGGGCCATCTTGGATGTGGAGCTCAAATGTAACGCATGTAAGGGCCATTCAGAGACACGCATCGCGGATTCTTGTCCCTTGCCTTGTAAAGAGGTAGTTTCACAGTCATATTAAAAATGTTTCACGGTATGGACGGCTCGAGAAAAACGTGGCGTCCTGGCGTGTCGATCCCCCGGCGCAATTGGTGTTTTCCCTGGCTGCTATTTTGATTAAGAACTGGGTTTTCCATGATTATTGCCCGTGCGCCCATCTGTGCAAGTCAGGATCAGATGGCTTTTCATCTGAGATTCATGCGCCGGTGACGGTATGGAGTACATGATTACGGAGAAGGAGAGCATATGCCGTCTCCGTTGCCAAGGACAAGGTATGGATATGATTGATTCTCCAAGGGCGCCTCAACGGAGACAGTCACACGGACATTGATGACAACTGCTGCCTTGCGTTCCGCCAAGATCGGCGACTCTTGTAAATAAATAAAAAAGGAAACCAAATATTGAATGTGAGATTTGACAGAAATTCTGCCCTCATGAAGAGACGGCTCATGTAAGGTACCCCGAGTTAACGATCTATAGACTGGTCCCTTGTAAGCGTGCTTTTGGTGGCTGAGATCTGTTTCTGTGCCGTCTGTTGACGGCTTTCTTTCTTTGCTTTTTTCTGTATCAAGCCAAGAATTATTGCTCCCTGCCGTGCCTCAAAACTTACCTGTCATTTTTTCTTTCTTCCAGCTGGGTTTATTAACTCCTAGTCAGGGAGGATAACGCCACGCCGCTGTTTATTCATTCATCATTGGATGGGTAGAAGATGGACGAAGCTCCGCCTTGTACGGTACACACGGCAAGAGTCAAATTATATACTGTAGAGCCTAGTACAGGTAGCGGACAATAAAGAGCAAAGTCATGTCTCGCTTTGGAGGATCAACTAATGCATGAGTTCGGATAAGAAGTTGCCGGCAACAATTCAACAAAAAAGGAAACTCAAGATGCGGTTTGCTTTAAAATCTTGGCAGAGGGGAACCTGGATAGACTGGGATTTGCTTGCACGAGTTTAGTTACAACAGCATGCCGTAGCTTACGAGTGCTTGTAATGTAAGGCATCAAGACGGCATCGTGTTACTGGCCGCAGCGCACAACGTCGACGGTGCACACACCTATTTTGTGCGACACGCTGGCTATGAACTATCAGACTAGGACCTGCCTCTATAGCGTGTATCGTAAGCGGTGCTACCCTAAGCGACGGCCGGGAGCTGGAGTTGGAATTGACGTGGAATTGATGCTTGCAAATGCATCTTTGATCTGTGCCGTCACGGTGGTGGTGGTGGTGGTGGTGGTGCTATGGATTTCGTCCATTCAGGATCCGTGGTTTTACAGAGGCGTGTATTTGTAAAGAGACAACAAAAAGAGACAACAAGCGGCCCAGTCGAGCCTAGCTGCAAGTCGACGGATGAGTTGCGCGTTGCATTGGGCGCATGTACTAACTTGCACTGGTTCGTTCGTACGCATGCAATGCACCAGGCCAGACGTGCATGGCATGCTGATGCGATGTGACAAAGCCCACGTCCTTGGAACCACACCAAAACCCTCGTGCAGCAGGGCGGCGCTTTTGGCTCTTGCGGCACCGCGTCCCGATAGGCTGCAGAGGGGCGATTGCAGCTTCACCGGTCAGAAGCAACAGGCAAGCGTGCTGAGACATGGCGGCAAGCCGGAAGCAAAACCGGCCCTCCGGAGATGCGGTGCTGCTCCCTTTCGGCCTCTTTTGCTTTGCCCCTTCGCTATGGATCTTGTTGTTGCTGGTTGTGCGGCCGCAGACAGACACCGCCTGAGCCGAAGCAGAGAGGAGGGAGCTTCCATCTTACTAATGTACTAGGTAGTATATCGAATCCATGCACATCTTGCTGCGTTCGCCCTTTTGCTTGGCTCCCTTGCTGGTATGTACAGTGTCATATCGGCGAGCAGGAAATGGATGCTTGACAGGGTTGTGTTTTTGGTGTCTTGCCTTGGCCTGGGGGATAAGGCGAGCTGAAAAGCTTATCGAGAGAAACTCGGCCGGGGCAGATGAAAGTCCACTGTACGCAGCTCCTGGTGCTTCGGTCAGACGCATCCCAGGTTTCAGGTACTAGCCAACTGCGCGTTCGAGATTCGGCCACTAAATTACAGCGGGCTCGAAGCGCTTCTGTATATACGAGCATGTACCAGGTACGGCCTGCGATGGTGCTATGGAGCTGATGGATTGATCGCTGCTGGCATTTTCGCATACTGTACGGCCACGGCAACGGTACTGCACGGTACGGTACGGTAGCATCAACTCCATCACTGACTGATCCGCTGCAGCTGCCCACCGGTCAATGCAACAACAGGGGCGCCGGCTACCAATCAAATGCTGGCGATGGCTTGCGAGCACTCGATAAAAGGCGGTGCCCGCATCGGGATTAGCGCAGACCGGGGGACTGATTGGCCTCCATCCTTCCCTTGCGCCAAAATGGCTCTAACACAACCTCCTCTCGACAAGGGAAAGGCAACGAACGACAAAGGCCGACAAAAAGAAACATGCTCTGCACGCGTGCGCCACACTCATTTTCTCGTGTAATTTTTTCTTCTTTCCTTTTTTCCTTCTCCCCCAGTCGTTTTACTCGTGTCTGGTGCCAAGCACTGTCCCCTTCATGGTCTGTGGAAGCGGCGTTGTCTGACCATGTCACCACTTCTTGTCCACAGCGGCTGGCACTAATGCTGCTTAAAACGCCATTGCAACATCTCGGCCCAACGCAGCCGGTGATGATTATGATGCTGTTGACAATGAGAAGGGGCTCCCAACGCTGATGAATGCTGCCACGACGCAAGCCTTGAATGAGAGGGGCGAGGGCGTGGAGGGCATGGATCAAGGGCCGCCGGTAATGAATTATGGGCTATGGATGATGGGCTCGACCCTCTTCGTGAGCAAGTGCTTCGCGGAGAACTGCCAAGTTCATCCGGCACTGCACGGCGGGCTCAGCCGCGAGGCAAGGAGGTCTGTTCTTCGCTGCTTTGGATCTTGGGCCTCTGCGTAGCTGCCGTCTCTCTGTCTGGGAAGCCTGCCCTGCATCTGCTTCATTGCTCCCAGACACACAGGAATTCGCCGTCGCATCGCCTGCAGAAGAAAAAGACAAGAAAAAAAAAGAAAAAAAAAGGGAACCGACTGCGCTAATATGCGTAGGTGAAAACGGCCTAGACTTGATGTGGCATCTCCTGTTCAGCTGCCACCAGTTTTACCTCTGGCTTGGCCGTGACCTGCCCCCCCGGCTTCTGGCAGCCGGTCACTTCTCAGATCTTGTTCGGCCTCCTCTTTACCGGCCGGGTGAGCCACGTCCAACCCGGGCTTGCTTCCCTTGCTCTCTGTGCTTTCCATCACCCCAAGACCTTTTATGCAGAGCCGCCCGGCATGGAAGCCCGATGATACCAGCTGGCACGCCTCGCCTCCCCCCACGAGGTTTGGACAACTGTTGCCCAATTGAACTCGAGGACAAAACGGTCTCGAATGCTGCTGCTTATTCTCTCCGTGAGCTGGTCGCCACCATCTAGACTGGTCTCTGAACCGCAATTCTATGCAGGCGGCTGCATCCGCCCATGTCTTGTACCCATCTCATCACAGGATTCAGCTTGGTCTGGGCTGTCGTGTTGTTGTGTTTCTGGACAGAGGCAGTATCCATCAAATTTCCAACCTCTCGGGTTCAGTCCCTTTGGAGGGTGAGCTTGACAATACATACTTGCACAAGCATGTAAGCCGTGAGCAGAGCCCGGCACCCGGCACTGTGTGCGTATGTGAACATGCCCAAAGCCATGCTGTTGGTCCAGCGCAGAAGATTGCTGTCAATCTTGGTTGCAAATCCCCCAGTTTGGCGGTAGCCCCCCCCCCGGCATCTGAATGCAGCATCCCTGGACGAGATGATGACGGCCATACAACCCATGCGGCTACGTCCATGGAGGATGGAGTACGAGGGATATCTACTACTTCTGCTGCACATTCAAATGCGGGTGGCGCCTCGTGGCGAGGATCCGTCCTCGCACCGCTTGCTGCTAACTTTGATGGTTGCAAACGTGCCAATATCAACCAACACAGCTGTGGATATGCTAACCAACACGGTGGTGCTATTGGGAGATCTCTTCAATGCCACCGGATCCCCTTCTGGTTCCCTAACAATATCCACAATCTGTCCATGCGTCTTGATAGATTCTTTGCTTTGGGCAAAAAAATAAAATAAACACGCCATCCTTGATACAAAGTCAAGTGAGTGGCTTACATGCCTCAGACGATGGGACACGTGTCGGCCGCAACACTTGATCTTGACGGAGCATAGTGGGAATTTTGTGTTGGTGATTGTCGTCTCGGATCGGTTTGACCATCGGCCAGTATCTTGAGTACAGATTCTCTCCTCCCCCCTCCCACCTCTCTATCTATTGTCATCACCCATGGTTCACCACCCCCCAGCTCAGCCCTTCGGCACTAGCCTCGCCTTAGGCGCGCATTGGTTCATGTTCGCCACGCCGGATCTGTCTTAATCACTGAATACTCCCGAGTTTCTCTTGACCTTGCAAAAAGCGGCTCGCCCTGCAGAGCACAGGCGGAGACAAAACAGCCTCTGATGGACACCCCGGCCGGTGCCAATTTTGGTCCCCTGTCTTCTCAGACAGAACAGCCGCAGGTACCGTTTTTTCATCGATTCTACGGTGATCCACTTGGACACCCTGGGGCACACATTGGCTGTTGGGTCCTCTTGTCTTGCTGTGCAGGGTTGACTGGGCGAGGGCGGACACAGACCCTCCCCTCCCAGAATCAAGACAAGTAGTGCGAGTGGGAGTGAATTGTACCGCCCTCTCTGGGGCCTATCACGGCCAATCCAGCCATTGGCCATGGCAGCAAAGCGGTGCATTAGTAGGTCATGGCTGAGGCCTGATCCCACAGGGTCTCTCGACGCTCCTCGACAAAGTGCAGCAAAGTACAAGAAGACCGTGCTCCTCGCGTTGACGCTCACTCAAGTGTTATCCTCAAACCTATCCACTCCTTCCCTTCTCACGCAAGTCTTGTTCTTCTACCCTTTTTGTCACAGTCCATATCCCTCGCTACTGCGGCCATCTGCCTGTTGTACTCTCCCTCTCGTCTAGCCTGGGCCATTGTGTCTTAACTGCAGCTTCTACTATCGTTTCAACCATTGTCTTCAAGACAGCTCAACTGTTGCGGGAGGCTCGTCCATTGTTGCTGTTGTCTTATACGCCTTACGCGAGAGGTGAACTCGGGTCGCCGTAGAACATGTTCACCGTGCAAGAGGTTCAAGAGCTTCGGAGCTCGTCTCCAACCAGACTCAACATGCTCGGTATCGCCAGCATGATGCATAGAGAAGCATTTCTCCCTAGAAAGCAGTCTACCGACCATCTATCTTCGATTCCAAGATCTCTGCTCCACCCTCAAACCCCTCCTGACTCAACCTCGTGTAGTCCGATTGTCAAACCTGAGGGTATGTGCTTCTTGGCAACCAGATTCCCCAGCCTTTTTCGGTCCAAGGCTACTACCAGCGTAATCGACTCAGGACAGCTAACATTGTTGCGGCAGGGTCCTTCTCAGCTGCCTCAAGTATCTCCCGAGAGTGCTCTCCGATCCCTCGTTTGACTCGCCTCAACTCCTACGCCAACCCTTCTCCCATCAAGTTGCCTAGTCTCGAGGAATTTGACCAAGGTGTTGACGCCATCGCCCGGTCGAATGGATCAACACGGTCTTGGACTCCCCCCTCACCTCTTCCTAGCCTGCGTCGCGGTTCCATACTCCCCCAGCCACTGCCATCAATGTTGGCCTTTTCAATCCATGAGCCCAGCTACCCAAACTATGCCATTAGCAGCGATTTCTGCCCTTCAAGGATGGACGGCTACCCCAGCCCACCCCCCGACAGCGAGGGGAGGCACATCAACCAAAAGTACACCACAGAAGAGGGAGATTTTATCATCTACGCCTGGCACGACAGGAAACTGAAATGGCAGCGTATCAAGCAAGACTTTGCGAGCATGTTCGGCCGAACGCCAGAGAGGACCGTTCAAGGCCTTCAGGCTTGGTACTACCGCATGAACCAGCGTATCCCACTCTGGGACGACGATGGCTGGCTCATCTTTGACAACGACGACGACATGGAGCCAAAACACATCAGCATCAAGTGCCGCGAGAGAGATACACAGGACCGGCCGATGGAGCCCTTGGGGCTTGCCCAGCGGTACCCTGAGCGAGCCATGCACTACTCCTGGGTCGACTCCGAAACAAAGCGCAAGTGCCGCGACTGGGGTGAGTCTTTTTGATTCACAATGATACAACTCAAGTATAGTCAGGATGCTAACTAGTTCTCCCTTGTAGCTCACAAGCGAACCATGCAGTTCCGTGAACGCAGAGAACGGCGAAAGAGAAAAGAGCAGAGACGCCTAAAAATCTAAGCGGCTGTTTGCTTCAACCACAACACACTTTTAGAAAAAGAAAAAAAGAAGTAAAGAATCACGTTAGAGTGGAGGGAGAGTTGCCATTTTCTCTCCATCTCGAAAGTTCTCCCTCAACAACAACAGTATGGCCGTGTACTAATACTCTCTCTCCCCTCGCGGAGATGCCCACCATTCACACACTTTTTTTTTTGTCGGCCACAATACCTTCTTATGACAAAGACTCATAAAACGGCTTTTTTTTTTTTCTCGGGTCCAACTGTACATGCTACAAATGAGGGCATGGTTCAAAGCATCAAGCATAGGAGGACAGCGTTCATTTGCATCCAAGGGTTTGCTTTGTTTTTGATTTTCTCCCTGATTTTTACAAGAAACGTTTTTCTTTTTCTCTCCCATGTACAAGTAACTATATTGCTGCTCTTACGGTTTTGTTTTGTTTTTCTGATGGCTGGCTAGAGAAAGCCTCCCCGTCTTTTTCCTGCATATATTTAGGGCCTTAATGAGGAGGAAACATGATGGTAACGCCGGGCGGGTATGGGACAAAAAGGGTAATGGACTGGCTATACGGGACGGGGGGTTTCAGTGTGTGTAAAAAAGACGGTCAACATATTCGCGTCTCGTATATTAGGATGACAATTTACTTAGTATTGCTACTACTACTACTCCAAGCTCTTCCATAGGTTGTAATTTTACTGCTCCTACTCCTCCAGGCCATTTTGGCCACCCTCCCTCTAGAGGACCCCTTTCGGGTTGCCCTGCATTGGCTTTAGCTATCCCTTGCGTCTCACAACATATGGGCCACCGGCATCCGAAAATCATGGCCCAGCGTTGAGCGCCTCAGAATCGAACATGTACCCTTTTCCCCATTGACAGAGCCAGCGGGCATGTGACCTGACAGAATCTCATCCCCCCCTCTCCCTCTCTCTCCCCGCCAGTTTCTCTTCCTCGCGCCGCCGTGGAGGGGTAAACCCAAAGGAAAAGCAAGCAAGCAAACTTGACGGACCCAGGCAGGGCATACAACACATCGGAAGAAGCCTAAACGGTTTGTTTGTTTGCCTCTCAGAGGGTCAGTAACGTCCAAAAAGAGAGCCTCCGCATTTGGGAAGCCGATTTTCGGAGGGGTGTGTTTTGATCAGCGGTGACAAGATGAAGAAAGGCATGTGTGTAGTATAATATTTTTTCCCCCAACGGTAGAAGAGGGCCAAAGCGCTGTGTACTTTCTGGCCTTGCTTTTCCCTCCTCTTCTGGCCTCCCACGGAAATGGGGGGACGAGGCCCGAGCCTGTGGGCTCAAAAAAGACAAGTGAGTGAGGACAACGAGAGCGGTGAGCGCCATGTCGAGGAAGGAGACCAGGGGTGCAGGAATGCGTCGCCCAACACATACATACATACACATATAGGTGTTACATGTACGAGTACAACAAACGTCAATTGGGCGAGAGTGTGTGTCTGCGTATGTGCCGCGCGCGCCATGTTGCATCAATTTCTGCAAGAGAGAGAATAACTAGCCCAGCCACGTGGGGGGAAGAGGGTGGGAGAGGAGGATTAAGGCCCCGGGATCAAAACGGTCGCCGTTACACGGCTAGGGTTGTGATGTTCGAGGGGAGGCGAGGGATGGGAGGGGGATGACGATGCCGGACAGCACTTGATAGATGAGCAGACAGCGAGATCGGGGGGGGCGGGAGGGCGGATGGTGTGCGTGAATCTGCCGTGCATAACAGCTAACAGGGACAAAGAAGCAAGGCGGCTTATCGCGCGTCTCGAAATGCCGCGTTGCGTTGCATGAATTCCCGGATGCGGTCCATTCTTGCGTCATCGTCGTCGTCGTCCTGGCCTTCCATGACAATCTCATCGCTGTCGTATTCGTTGTCGTCAAACTCCTCCTCGTCTGAGGCGTTGGCATTGCGGTACATGTAAGCGTGACGATCGAACTCGTCCTCGGTGTCGACCTCATCCTCCGGATAGTCTGCCGTATAGTAGTTTTCCGCTGTGCACAAAAAATGGGTGAGGCTTTGTCTCGCGTAGATCAACGTCTTGCATGGAGGGCGAGCTTACCATTTTCGTCTTCATCATCTTCGGCATACTCGTCATCTTCATCTTGAGGCGACCCGTAAAACAGCGTGTTCTCCTCTTCTCCATTCAGGACCAGGATACCAACATCAGATGGTAGGACGTTGAGGCCCATGGAGTGAGCCGGAATGCGGACGTACTCCTCAATGATCCAGTCCTCGTCGTCCCCTTCTTCCTCGCTTGCGTCTGCCATTGGTGTATCTCCCGACTCCTCGACAGGAGGAGTTGATGTCGCGGCAGTCTCAGGGTGGCGCTCTTGGTATCTCTTTTCGGGGGCTTTGGGTCTGAATCTCGGCTTCTCCGCTTGCTTCCTTTCCACCTCCATGGCGTGTAAGTTTGCACCAATCTCGTTTAACACCCATTGGTTCATATCCGCAGTGATTTTGTCCATATCATCGGCATTACGATTAGCCAGCGACTGTGGGAGAGGCGCACGAGCCGGGGATTCCTGAGAAGGGTCGCGTCTCCTTGCAACACCGGGCTTCTTGAGATGCTTCTGCTCGATGGGCTCGTCAGGTGTCGTCACCATCTCCTGTGGGTGGTCTTGAGCTATGATGGCGTGGGCATCCTTTATGACAAGGCTCTGGCGTGAAGACCTTGGTACAATCTTCTTACGTCCGGTACGCTCGATGAATATAGTTGGTCCATACGACGCATGCTTTGAGCTTCCTGGACGGGCCGATCCTTGGTTGGTGGTTGCCTGAGCCAGCATCGCTCGTGATACATGGAACTTGCGCTGTTCTGAGAGCTGCCCATCCGCAGATCGCTTCGCAGCTCCCCGAATGTCGCCCATTGACCCCGAACTATGGTCATCGTTGCGTGTCTTGGACGGGGATGCTACGGCTTCCGGCTGCGAGACATGAATCACCGGTCTGCCATCGCCACGGCCGATGGCTGGGCCCGACGGCGCCGCCGTTGATTCCCGTCGCTGGTACACCCAGTTCGCCTCACTGCGATGACGCTTAGCCCCTTCATCGAGCTCTACGCGGTGTTAGAGGGACGCTGGTGCTGAGAGCAGTCATCGGGCAAACTGACGGAGAAAAGTAACGGGAGACTCATCGTCCCGCTTGCGCTTGACGCGGATGAGCTGCGGGGGAATCGACATGCTTACGGCCTTGTCAAACGGAATAGACGCCGATGGCAGAGGAAGCCGCGCAAGTGCCAGCCGAAGCGCAGCTGTTGTTGTGGTGAGGATAGCAATAGCAAAAAATACCAATGGGTCAATTCGAATAATTTTTTTGAGGTTACTCGCAGCTAGTACGAGTACGGGCTAATAGGTGACAGACTCCATACACGGGCAGGTACCCGGAGGCGTTGCATGACAAATGACGTCGCGTCTCGTTACACGGCGGCTCAGCGCCCTGACTAAACATCCATTAGACAGCATTGCGTCTGGTTTCAACTGTGTTTTTGTAGGTTCAGCCGAGTATGAGCCAATACCAGGAGGTATTGAATGTTTTGGAAAATGTGAAACATTGAAACTTGATATCCAATCCCACGATGTAAGAGTACCTCCTACCTACCTAAAGTACAACCCATTGTTGCTGCTCAGTCAGGTACAAGGAATCCAAGGTGCCATTCATTCACCATCCGCCATTTAACCATTAACCGTCGAGCTAATAAGGTGCCGTAGCGGTACTCGTAGTCATCCCCAGCACTAGCACCCTGCTAGGTACTTACCGCAAACTGTCTCGGACCAGCTTCTCCGCACAAGATACCCAGTAGAAGATGTAATGTGATTGGCCCGACCCCAGGCCCATGATCTCACGCCTAGCCCCGTCCTGGCCACTACAGAAACGAGCAAGTACAGTACAGTGCAGTACCGTGGAGCTTGTCCTTCAACTGTCCAAGGAACCTCGACCCTTGGCTCTCCCGCCCAGATCTGCGTCGTATCAGAGACCTTGTCCGTACTAGAGGGCCCGGTCACATCGCGGAAAAGCAGAGGTGCATTGCATCTACTCGCTCGGCTAATGACTAAATGAAATACATAGCGAGAGCATATAGCGGCATGGCATGGCAATAAATACCTCCCCCCAAGACCCCAATCCTCCTCCTCGCGAGGCATTTGATCGCTGCTCTAGGCCTTACGCGACGCCCACGTCACTGCCAGGTGCCACTCACCAGCCATGACGATTCCATGAGCCGTTCGGGATCCAACGCCGCCCTCCATCACAAGCAAGGAATTAGCCTTTGGCACTACCAAGCATCGTCACGGCCCGGCAAACCCTCCAACTCCAAGCGGCAAAGCCATCCAGGAGCCTGTTCTTTGCATTGACTTTGACTCCGACATTGCAACGCCTGAAACCCCGCATGAGAGACGCTCTTTGTGTCTGATCAGCCCATCAAACCCTTGCTTTGCCATATGCAAGGCAGCAAAACCCAGCTCCTTTTTCACCAAACAAGCGCTGCGGTTCCTTACAGCATCTACCAGCTTGCCCCCTTTTCACCCTCAACTGCCGTAAGAGCACACACAGGTGCAGAACAGCATCTCGACTGACCCCACCGTACATCCTTTTCATCAACTCCATCACCTTCATCAACATGTCGCCAACCGCCGTTCCCTATACCGTTACCTACCGCTGCCCTGGGACAGAGCCTCCCGTGTTCCTGGCCGGGAACTTTACGGCCTTGGAGTGGGGTCTCCAGGAGATGGGCTCTCGCCAGGAAGGAGGTGAATATGTTTTCGAGTCGCGGGTTTTCATTGAGCCTGGGAGGGAGTATCATTTCAAGTTCAAGGCCGGGAGAGAGGGCCCCTGGCTCTTGGACGAGAATAGGGCAACCGGTGAGTGCTCATCGTCTTCTCTATTCTATTGCGTCAGACCACCCCCTAACGAGACACTGTTCATTCAGCTACCGACGAGTCAGGCAACCGCAACAACGTGTTGACACTGCCCAAGACTTACGTATCCAAGATCAAGGACGATGAAGGAAGAAGGACTTCAACTCCTATTGAGCAGGTTGCTTCGGTTGCAGCCGAGGTTGCGGACGTAGCCTCAAAGCTCGACAAGGTAGGATTAGGCGTCATGCCTTTGAACAATTTTCCAACGCGGTAACATCTAACAGACCGAATAGGACGACACGTCGTCGCCTCGGATTAGCGGGTCTGGTGGTGAGAGCGAAATTGACGAAGACCTCAAGACCCCATTATTTGCACACGAGTGTTTTGGCGCATACGAATTTGTCGACGATGCTTTGGATCATGACGCCCTTGATGACAGTAAACTCCACCAGGATTCGAAGCCCAAGCTCCCCGAGTACGACATAGATGATGTGGACATGAACGACCCTACTATCGAGCAGTTTCCGTCAGACAAGTCTTCCATTTTCAGTACTTTACGCAAAATCCAATCCAGCCTAAGCGAGGACCAAGCCGTCATTGATGATCAACAGCCATCGCCTCGATTGGACGCGAGAAGATCAAGCGTGGACTCGGATGACAGTCTCTTGTCAGCAGGGTCCCTCAGTCCAGTCAGTGCTAGAAAACGAGAGAACCGAATGTCAACTAGCAGCGGTCGAAACAGGTCTCTGGTGTCACTTGGATCTATTGCTGAAGAGCCCAAGACTCCCGGTCCCGAGGATGCCTCCCACCCGATGGCCACGTCCAGCTACCTCAAGAAGGACACTGGCCGTGCGAAGAGCCCCACAATCGAGCAAGGCGAACACCTTATGATGAAATGATACACGGAATTTTCTGAGTGAATGCGATGCGAATGCTGGACCGAGTCTATAGAATGGGATTGCAGTGACACGATTGACAGGACATCATGACGTCAGTCCTTATATATACGCCGTAGGCCAACCGCAGTAGTTAGCGGAGGATGTGATTTCTTTTCTTTTCTTCTTTTCCTTTGCACTTTGCAAGCAACCACTTCTCTGGAATTGGCATTTTCATTTATAGTTTGCTTCTTATGAATTAAGCGCAATGAACGCATTATGTCTATCAGAGTATGTATCTCTTTTCCTCCGTGCTTAGCATTAGCATTCGATACCACAATCGAAGAGACGTTAGAGTGAAACCCATCACCGTGCTCCTTTTCTGTCCGCTATGCAATGAAATTTCAGTACATAAAATCCAGTAGCTACTACTCTCCATTATGAAATACCTTGTTTAAATACAAGTACTCAAAAGTGTCCATTTCCCCGTCTTCTGATACTGGAGTCGGGGCCGGGACGCCGTCCAACGGAGCCGGCGCTAGCACTGCCGAAGCGCACTCCGAATCGATAAGCTCAGGGGAAAAAAAGTTGCAAATCTGGGTGCAACTCATCCATTACACCAACGAGTTCGCCATGATGCGCCGCGCAGCCGCAAACTCGGTTTGCTTACGCTGTGTACACACAATCAGAAGCCGCCCGCTGCTACAGCCTTCAGTAATATCTTCAGTGATACCCTCGGTGATACCCTCGGTGCAGGCGTCGGTGCAACCATGCTTAGGCCAGCGCTTCTTCACTCAGCGAGCCAGGGACAAACCCTCGCGCATGGTCCTCGCCGACCAAGTCCACCGAGCACCACGCCTATCCCGAGATGAACGCAGACCACAGCGAGAGAGGGTTGCAGGTCCATTCTCTGGAATGAACAGGAGGGTAGCCAATTTTGACCCAACCCGCGCGCCGACGAGAGCCCGTTCCGGCGATCGCAAGTCGACTCAAGAGGAGGGCAGAAGGCGGCCGCAGGATGATAGAAAGGCGCTCAAGATGCAGCGCGCCTTGGCTTCGGTTTCGTACAACAAGCGCACGTCGCTGAAAGAGAAGATGCAGAGCTACGAGTCGTTTGATCAGTTTGATCTCCTCCCAGTTCTGAAAACGGCTGTTGTCGACGAGGTATTCGCAGGATTGGTGGATATTCGCCCAACGCCGGTACAGCGACTAGCAATTCCCGCCCTGCTGGGACAAAGAGAGCCAGGAGAGAAAAGGGTTGGGCATGAGGGGCAATCTTCGTTCTTGCTGGCAGCAGAGACGGGATCGGGCAAAACCCTCGCCTATCTACTGCCTGCCATTGATGCGCTGAAGGCGGCCGAAGCACAAGATACGGAGATTCAAGCCTACAAAGAGCGAGCAGAAGTAGAGAGGCAGCGTCAAAAGGCTGCGGATTTCAAAGGAAAGCCTTTCGAGGAGCCTCATCCCACCATGGCCAGGCCCAAGGTCATTGTCTTGGTTCCTACGGCGGAGCTGGCTCACCAGGTTGGACTTGTTGCCAAGAAGCTGTCGCATGTGACGAAGTTTAAGACGGAGATACTGTCATCCAATCTCAAACCTCAACAGATCCAGCGAAACCTGTACGGACCAAAAGGTGTCGATGTCGTCATCTCAACACCTCACCTGCTGGCTTCGATTGCAGATTCCGATCCCAACATCCTCTCTCGAGTGTCCCATTTGATCATTGACGAAGCGGATTCGCTGTTCGATCGAAGCTTCTCTGCCGTCACTTCTAGCATCGTCGAGCGTTCATCGCCCTCAATGAAGCAACTCATCTGTTGCTCAGCAACAATTCCGAGAAAGTTGAACAATTATCTGGCAACCAACTATCCCAAGATGATCAGAATCACCACACCAAACCTCCACGCTATCCCCCGACGTGTTCAACTTGGTGTCATTGATGTCTCAAAGGATCCCTATCGCAACAACAAAGACCTTGCGTGTGCCGACGTCATCTACACAATCGGAAGAGAGGCTTCTCAGCACGAAAATCTGGCCAAGGATGAAATTGACGTCCGCAGAGTCATGGTTTTTGTCAACGAGCGAGAAAAGACAGAGCAGGTTGCAGAGTATCTTCGCTCAAAGGGCATTGACGCGCAGGCACTGCACAGAGACACTCCCGAGAAGCGCCACGGCGAAGTTCTAGAGACCTTTACAACAGCTGAGCCGCTACGAATCATTGCATCGCCGAATCCATCCCGCCACCGGTCCTTGACTAACGTCAAGGCTCTGGTAGTGACTGACTTGGCGTCTCGAGGCATTGATACTCTGGCTGTTCGACACGTCATCCTGTATGATGTGCCTCACACCACCATTGACTTTATCCACCGCCTAGGCCGTGCTGGAAGAATGGGACGACGAGGAAGAGGCATTGTTCTTGTGGGTAACGACGACAGAAGAGATGTCGTTGCGGATGTGAAGAAGAGCATGTTTATGGGCCAGGCGCTCATTTAGACAGCAGTGACGGATTATGAGTGATTTGAGATCTATTATTGGGCATATTGTGGGAACAACAAAAGGGAAACGGGATCATTCGGGCGATTGAGAGCCTTGTATAACTATAGTAGATAACTATATTGACGAACCACGAGAGATGAACAGGGTCAAGGGCCTCTGGTGTGTAAGAATCTATGGTATGAGGGTATATCTCCAATATGAAGAGAAATGATGGAAAAAAGAAAAAGACAAATATAATTATACACATACATATCCTGTCTAGTATGCATCGCATATGAATGAATTCGGTGATGACTTGAATGCGTGAGTGTGGTGAGGCTGAAGTACATGTACCAGGTACCACCATGCTAGCTCCCGTCTTTATTTTCACTTCTGATTTTTTGTTTTATTTTTCTTAGGCAGGGCCCCGCCAAAAAAAAAAGTGACAGCCTCGCGAATCCTCCACTTCCGCCCGCGTCAGGACGCGTCAAGACTTTAAGCTAAATTAACCCTCACAGCCATACTTGTTGCCCAACCCACATCGTGGTGGCCTCTCGTTGCAGCAAACCGGGATTTTACTTTGCATTGTATTGTGGACGCGTCCATCGACCAAATCAACACGGCAGGCCTGTTTTATTCCTGTTTCATCAGTTGCAACCGCCAAAACATCGCCCTCCCGCTGTGCACTCCACGCTGATTGCAATGCCGCGGCCCAAGAGAGGACGTGGTAGGCCGCCTCGAGCAGCCAGAGCTGTTGCAGAGCCAGCCAGCAGCAGTCCCAATGTCGCGATTGAAAAAAAGCCCGAGACGAGAGGACGCCCCCGGGGACGCCCCAGGAAGACTCCCTCCATTGCACGACTCAACATCAACGAGGATGATGCTATCCAAAGCGCAAACAGCTCTCGCGACGAGGCGCTCCCTAAGCTTGCCAACAAAGATACGACCATGACAAGTGAGAGATCGGCGATGCGCGCAAGCTCACGAAGCTCAATAGAACTTGGGCGACATACTGCGGCGACGCCTGGACACAACCGACGTACAAGTGGACTAGATCTGGGCGACAGTGACTTTGGCAACTTGGATGACAGCTTTGCGGAAGGTGACATTCCCAGTACGGCGCTCTCAGGGGATATTTCAACCTTGTCATACAGCGCCCTCCGCTCTCAGTCGCGACGGTCTAGTTTCATAGGAAGAAACGACCCCCCCATTCGACCCAGCAGCAGGAGCGGAACTACCCCTAGGGTTGGCTCTTCGTTCAACCTCGGTCTCTTCAAGAGGCGTGCGCGAGAACCAAGTATTCTTGGTGCGAACCGAAAACCTCTACATGACTCCTCGACGGTCGTCCAAGACTCTGAAGAAGACAGCGAAGAGGAATTCGAACCCGAGGCTGAGTCCACGCCATTAAATAACAGACGACGCACTCGCGGAAAGGACGAAATCGAAGCACCAGAATCACCAGAGGCTGCCGAGTCCTCCAACCCGAGGAAGCGCAAAAGTCTAGATGTGCAGCAGAGTAGCACACGGCCTGAGAAGGTATCGAGAACAGAGCCTGGACCATCCAGACAGCCGGGCGACCGGAGCTTGTCTGAATTGCCAGATGCCCCTCCATCATCTCAAGAGGATCCTATGGACGACACCAGCGAGTCCGAAATATCAGAACTCTCCTCACCCAGAGGACCCCCCGCCAGGCTCCCTCAACGCCCAGTCACACCAGTCAACCTGGAGGAAATTGCAGCTCCCCCAGCAAGTAGCGGGTCAGAAGGGCCGGATATGTGGCCGGATATTCGATCACTGGCCAAGAAACGCCGCCGACCTTCCGTCACCACTCCCTCGCGCCTTTCTAACCTCTCCGACATGTCCTCGCCCCCTTCACTTACACATTCACCAAACTACGACGCAGCCAAGACTGGCAAGACGCGTGGGCGGCCACCGCAACGACAGCAAGCCTCGCCCAAGATGACTACGGCTGATCTTGCGAGCTTGCTGCCCAAGCGGCGATACAAGAAGTCGCGCGATCCGCTCGGCCTAGAGAGCGATGAAGAGCTTGATACCTCGGGACTGGGCCACGAGGATGATGAACTATCTCATCTAGACACCCAGACGGCCCGCCGGCGGAAGAGGGGAAGGCCACCTCGCTCGGCTTCTCGCGGTGGCAAGCCTGGTGGTTCATCTCGGCGTACCCTCAGATCACGTTCTCGCCATTCGTCAGACAAGGAAAATGCACGAGACGACGGCAGAGGCAGCGATAGCAATGAGAGCGAGGATGAGGATGGAGGGGAGGGTGTGAGCAGGTTTGTTCCTCTGGCGGATAATACGTTTGACGAAGCCTCCGCCAGAAGCCCAGCCAACGCCGTTCCTACTGAGGAGCTGAAGCAAGCGAGCAGCAAGTTCAAAGAAGTAGACAAGTGGGAGTTGGAATTTGAGGAGGTGGCGGAGGCTTCGTCGCCCCAGGATGGAAGGTGATGTGCTTGGCATGTTTTGTTTTGTTACGCATGTTAGCATTTTTATCGCTTTTTCTCGGTTGCAGCATTATGGCCATGTCTTTGCAGTGTGTTTGTAACTATTATGGAAGTGTCTGATGAAGGCATAGGTAGTTGAAGGGAGTGGGCGTAGGTTGGATTTCTATTTCTCAATGTTGATATCCATGGTTTCGTATCTTGCTGCTTCCTCCCTTTTTCCTTTTCTATGAGTGTCATCGAAGAGCTTTGCCACGCTCCAGCTTATTATATTTCAAAAATGAACAGTTTACGGAAATATCCTAATCTTCGTACCGAATCCCTCCTAAACGCCTTTTCATGATTACGCCCTTCTAAATAGACAAATATTCTTCCGTTATCTTTTGGTTTCGCTTCGCCTTTACCCAAGTTACTGCTGCGCTGCTAGTGATACCGCTTCTATCCTATGTTCGACAACTTCCAGGAATGCATCCAGAGCATTGGGATCTCGTAAAGCGACGGTGATATCATCGGGCAACCTTCCTGATCTCCACAGAGCCTGTAGCACATTAGCCAAAATTTTGCCTGCAAAAAAAAAAAAGCCCTTCAAGTATCTTGATTGTCCAGCGCACACTCACATTCTTTACGTCGGCAAACTTGGACTCCTTGGCAGTGTACTCGCGCAACACCTCGTCTGTCTCGAAATCCACATAGATCCTCGTGTCGCGCAACCGCACCAGGACGTTGTCCAGGCGCATAAACAAGCGGCACAGCAGCAACATGCGCTTGTCGTGGACTCTCAGCTTGGCGCTATACAGCGAAATGCCGTTATCATCAAGCTCGCTCTCATACAAGACGACCTCGTCGAAGAAGAGAATCGGGTCTCGCCGCTTCAGCAGCTCAATGGGAATCTGCTTGTCCGTGGGCGCAAAGGCGACGGCGCCGTCGACGGTGCCGGCGTATGTGGTGGAGTAGCTCCAGTCGTAGGGCTTGACGACCTCTTTGATGTTCTGGGTGGTTTCCTCGCGGGTGCTCTCCCAGTCGCGGGCGTAGGCGACGCGCAGCATGTGCTTGTCGGTCTTGTCGACGGCGTCGAGGGCGTCAGCGGTGTTGAAGGCGAGGGTCCAGTTGGATGGCGTGTGGGTGACGGAGACGAGGTTGTCGCCAAAGATCATTTCGGGCACGGGGATGCCGAGCTTCTTCTCGAGGGCGTCGATGGCGGCGGACTTGGAGATGGGGAGCTTGCGGGTCGAGATGCGGAAGTTGTTTTGCGTGTGCGAGGTTGTTGCGGCGGCGAGGGCGTCGGGGCTGGGGAAGGGCTCGTTGGGGGAGGTGACGTGGTTCATCGTGGGCGGTGGTGGTGGAAGCATCGTTGAGGGTTTGTTGGAGAGGGTTGAATGAATGAAGCTGGAGGATTGGAGGTTCGGGATGCTAAAGTTGAGAAGAGCTATGGTGGGGTTTGGGGGAAATGGGAATATTATAGCGGGGTGGTTCGAACAGCCGTATGATGATGGAATATTTCACGACTAGGTTGCTGCGCATTTACACGACAATATAATTATCAGACGGAAGTTTTTTTTTACTACATCTTGAATTCAAATTGCATTTTATTAATATCCAGCTTTCAGCAATCAGAACTCCCAAGGAAACTCAGTTGGCGGTGATGGAATTTGCAATACAGATAGACTTATGGCCTTTGTCTTGCTTGTAAGTAATCCATCTGTACAACTTCATTCAATATTTCCGTCAGCTCATTCATGTTCAGTTCTCTTTAAAAACCAATGCCTCTAAGAGAATAATCTGATTCCTAAGCTATAGTAATTGTATTTGTAATTAAAAAAGAAGAATCAAATAGAGTAAAGGTCCGTTGAGTTTCACAAGCTAAGAGAGCATTCTAAGGCTACAATATGCCAATCCCTACTAAGCAGGGTTGCCATTTCGTAACGTTTCGTAACTACGAAAATTTTCGTAATTCGTATATGAATTACGAAAATTTTCGTACTTTTAGTACGAAATACGAAAGTACGAAATACGAAAATTCGTAATATAAAAAAATTATAAGCTTAAATTTTATTATTATTTTAATAATAAAATTAAATAAATATATTAAATTACTTATTAAATATAATATTTAACTTTAAAAATAAGCTAAATTTCATAAGTTATTAAAGAATAATAAAATTCGTATTTTCGTAATTCATATATGAAATACGAAAATTTTCGTAATTTCGTACAAAACTACGAAAATTTTCGTATTTCGTATATGAATTACGAAAAATTTCGTAGTACGAAAGTACGAACGTTTTCGTACGTACGAAATGACAACCCTGCTACTAAGTCAGGCTACAAAGTGCATGTCGATCATTTTCAGCTGTACCGGCAAAAAGTTTGTTGTCGGCAAAAAGCAAAATTTCAATACTACCTCTGTAAATAATAGATGTTTTACTACCTACCCGAGGAAGAATCAACTCTGTTTGGTACTCCTTCCAACCCAACCAAAAGAGTTGGGATATGCTGCCTCAGGTACATGTAGGGTAGATGCGATAGGAAAAGCGGATGAAGCGAAGGAGAAGGGCACTGTTCAATGAAAAAGGGTGTTACCCTCCCCTTGTAGACATATGAAGTTGAGGCTCATATCTATAATCAGAATGATTTGCCTGGAGTGAGTATACTTGGATGCAATTGAATTATCAATCTTCTAGTACAGAGCAGAGGCTACAACAGTATTCCTAGGTCTGGTGTTTACCATGTGTCGCATAACATCATAACCCATATTGACTACTGCGATTGTGCACCTCTCCCTTTAAAAAATCATCTCCATGCACGTCAATTTAACTCAAATCCTCACTTGTTATTTGGACATGTCGTTGGCCATCGTCTCTGCAAGGGGGTTAAATTGTCGCTGAGTCGATCCCTGCCATTGGCCGCAGCCCCTAAGACCCCCTAAGACCCGATTTGGTCCGCCCCCAGCAGAGGATTGCGGCTTAGTCATAACCAATATTGGCCCGCTGTTGCCCCGACAACATTGGACCGCACCAAAGACAACACGACTAACCCCCGTCGCTGCCACAGCCGCACTCCAGGCAAACTCTCCTCACTTATACCTGCAAAACCCAGCGACCACCACATCTGCCCAACTGCCATCTCCAAGTCTCCGAGGCAGTCAAGCAACATGACTACACGTACGCTTGAGTCGCGCTTGGAGCGCATCTCCATCCAAGACGAAAACGACGTCGGTGAAGCCACCAAGATCTACTCAAAGACCAAGGTATGACCAGCGTCTCTGCAAGTCGGGCTGCCCTTGGAGGAGATATTAACCTGGACTTAGTTGGCAACGACAACGACGTCGACCACCACCCGGGCAAACCATTTCAAGGTAGCTCTTCAGTCGCAAAGCAACAACGTCAACGCAGTTGCTTCCGTCACCCTGCCTTCACAAGCGGCCCAGAGAAAACCGCCTCCACCCATCAATCCTGCTTCACCGCCCCCAGCGAGAAGGCCTCTGCCCGCTCCCACAGCACGAGTCAAAGACGAGAAAGAAAAGGAAAGGGTGAGGGTGAGGGTGAGAGAAGCGGAGAAGGAACCGGAAACGGAAAAGGACAGTGAGAAGGATGTCGAAGAGGCCAAGTCAGCTCTGACGGAGCAGCCAAGCGTACCCAAACAGTTCCATCTTGGCATGTTTGAGATTGGACGGCCACTGGGCAAAGGCAAGTTTGGCCGCGTTTACCTTGCCAGAGAGCGGACAAGCGGCTTCATCTGTGCTCTGAAGGTGCTCCACAAGAGTGAGCTTCAGGCCGGAGGAGGCGTGGAGAAGCAGGTTCGGCGCGAAATCGAGATCCAGAGCAACCTACGGCATCCAAACATTCTGCAGCTTTACGGCCACTTCCACGATAGCAAGAGAGTCTTTTTGATCCTCGAGTATGCTGGAAAGGGCGAGCTGTATAAGCACTTGCGAAAGGAGACCAAGTTCCCCGAATGGAAGGCGGCCCAGTATGTCGCTCAGATGGCTTCTGCGCTGCAGTATCTTCACAGAAAGCACGTTATCCACCGCGATATCAAACCTGAGAATATTCTCGTTGGTATTCACGGGGAAGTCAAAATTTCCGATTTTGGCTGGAGTGTACACGCCCCCAACAACAGGCGGAAAACCCTGTGCGGCACCCTTGATTATCTCCCCCCAGAAATGATCAAGCCCGGCTCCTCGGACAACTACTACAACGAAAAGGTTGACCTGTGGAGCTTGGGTGTGTTGACGTACGAGTTCCTCGTTGGCGAGGCTCCTTTCGAAGACACTCCTGTCATGACGCAGCGGAGGATCGCCCGTGCAGACATGCAAATCCCCAAATTCGTGAGCGCAGAGGCTGCTGATCTCATCAAGAGAGTGAGTACTTGGATCCCCCCAAGATAATGAAAAAGTGATTGGCCTGCTAACAAGCAATGTGTAGCTTTTGGTTCTTGACCCTGAGAAGCGAATCCCTCTTGAAGATGTACAGAGCCACCCTTGGATCATCAAGCACTGCGTCAAGGGTGAAAGAGCTACCAATCGCGAGAAGGGCGTTTGATTTGCTGCCACATGATACATGATACATGCAAGCAAGCAATTTGTTTCCGTCTTTTTCTAGTCTCATGACTTGTTTGGCCGTTGGAGTCGGGTGTGTAAGATTTGAGCTGAGATTTGCCTTGCATAAGGAGGAGTTTACGGAGTTTTTTCTTGTTTTTGCCTTTCCTTTTGGGGTGTTCACATGGGAGCAGCAGAGCGTTTGAGTCAGATATTTGTTCTTTTGGGGTATCTTTTAATGACGTTGAAAGTTAAAAGCTAAGTGTCATGCAAGGAGATGCGCTGGGGCTAGACGTTATCGTACATCATAGGGTCTATATTTTACAAGGCATTCGAATTTTACCTATACACCTCATCAAAGGGTCTAGTGTCTGAGAAACACGAGTCCCAGACTTCATTGACCACTTTTGTCGCTTGCACGTCATCTTTGCATCTCGGTCGCGCCATGACTGATCGTATGGCTCTGGAACGAACGCAGTTCTGGAATTGCTGGGTCAGAGCCCAGTTGCCTCGGGTGAAGAATTCTCTGCTCCAGCGGCATTCTCCGCTCAGCATCGATGCACGAATCTATTGTTCGACAAGCGTCAGTCTCGGGATCCGTTTGGCGATTGTTCCATCCCAATTGAGGTATTTCACATAGGCGCAAAAGTACTAACCTCTGTGCACGCAGCATGCTTCAAGTCTTTATCGCCCATCCAGTCCACCTGCCACCTGAGGTGGTCCCACGCATGTACCATCTCGTGCGCCAGCGTATCTTCCAGGTGTTTGCGGTCGCGGATCTCGTTTGCGCAAATCAGGATGCCGTGATTGGGGCTGAAGCCTCCCGACTGCCGATGCACCTGGCCATCCTCTTCCAGCCGCGCAGGACACCGGCGGCACAGCACGTTTGAGGCATCCAGCTTGCCGTTGAGATCTTGGATCTTGCCCGACAGGAAGCGGACGGCGGGCGAGTATGTAAAGAGCCAGTCGCGATACTCGTCGCACCGCTTGCAGTCACGTTCCTCGTGGACCTTGTATCGCCATTCGCGGTAGTGGAAGAGGCCCTCGGGGGTCATCTGGCCTGACAGGATTCGGAAGTAGTTCATCCACCATTTCATCTGCGGGTCGAAGCCGGTTCGAGCTGGATCATTGACGACTTCTTTTGCGGGCTTCGGCGAAGCAGAGCCAGCCGGAGCTGGGGGGGTCGGCGATGCGCCGGATGCCATGGCTGTAGGGTGTGTATCTAAAACTGGAGAGGAGAGAGATGCAGGGGGTACTTTAGAACAGTTTCTCCTTTTGTAAAATGCCAAGCGGAATGGTAGGGTGAGACAATGCAAGGGAATCTCATGCCACTGGAGGATTGGGATGAGGTGATGAAGTTGCCTCACCTAATACCAGTCTTGTGTCGTCCAGAATTCTGCCGCGTAGAATTGACAAAGCTCAGGGCGGTGAGGGCGCCTTTTTGTAGGCTGGTGCGGTTCCGGCTTATCTTATCGCAGGTACATGCCTGTCCTGTCAGAAGCTGGCCACTGAGACGAAAGAAACTCCAAATAGCCGACTTTGGACTGAGCAAGGAGGGGCGATCTCGGACTTGCAGCGACAGGCCCTTTGAAAGCGATTTTCATCTAAAGCGATTTCTCATCTCAACAAGGCGAATTAATTCAATGAACTGAGCCGACATATCTCGATTGCGCCAATTAGCTTCCTCAGGCAGAGCACAGGTCGCGACAGGGGAAGTTGGCGAAAATGTCTGAAGATATTACTCAGAGTAAGCCCGGCCAGCCTATATGACGAGCCGTCATGTCTCATTTACTTTTAATAGCGGTGGGCGTCTAGGACGCCCTTCCGTCCTTTTGCTCATTTGCATCTCATGCTGGTTCTTGATTTTATTTCCTTCTTTCTAGCCGAATTTATCATCTTGTCTTTCTGTTTCAACGAATTGCTTGCTATGTGTTTTCTTCAATGTTTTAAGACTTGACATCTTGTCTAACTTTTTTTGCTTTCGGTCGATTCAAGACGACGGCGTGGCGGCCATGAGGAAGCCGAAGCCGCTGACTGTTGTCATTAAGCTGGGTGAGTACAATGCTTGGAGATGGACACCGGTCAATGTAGATCACGACGACTCGTTGCTAACGGCCAACAAAACAAAGGGACGAGCTCAATTGTCGACGAAACCACCCATGAACCTCTACTTCCCATCCTGACGTTGATTGTGGACACGGCGGTCAAGCTAAGGAAGGATGGCCATCGAGTGGTCATTGTCTCTTCAGGAGCCATCGGCGTCGGTCTTCGTCGCATGGACGTGGCGAGGCGTCCCAAGCATTTGGCCCAGTTACAGGCAAGGCTACTCCCACACAAACCGGGGGAACGAACCAGGCAAACTAATATACGCATAGGCATTAGCAGCAATCGGCCAGTGCCGGCTCATTAGTCTCTGGGATAGCTTGTTTGCGCATCTGACACAGCCGGTGGCTCAGATTCTACTTACGCGGAATGACATTGCTGATGTATGATACTACTATCCACGACAATCTAACTAACGAGGACGTTGTCAAGCTGACCGCGAACGATGCTTCTTTTTTTTAGCGAACGCGATATCTCAATGCTCAAAGCACAGTCAACGAACTATTAGACATGGGAGTCATACCCATTGTGAATGAAAACGATACCCTGGCAGTTTCCGAAATCAAATTTGGCGATAATGATACCCTTTCAGCGATTACTGCGGCCATGATACACGCAGACCTCTTATTTCTCATGACGGATGTCGATTGTTTGTACGATAAGAACCCGAGAAGCAACCCCGATGCCAAGCCCATCGAAATCGTCGAGGACATTTCAGCCCTCGAGGCGGATGGTATGTTGTGCTTCCAGAGCTCATCAAAACGTGGAGCTGGCTAACGGTTAAAACAACAGTCTCGAGTGCCGGATCAGCATTGGGTACTGGTGGTATGAGCACCAAGATCATTGCCGCACGACTCGGGACGTCGGCGGGCGTGACAACAATCATCACTAGGTCGTCCAATCCAGGCAACATCCTGAGCATCGTGCGCTACCTCCACCAGTCTCAGCCTTCGAGATCGGCATCGTCCGTGTCGCTCAACCTCATTGCTGCATCAGAAAATATAGAGACAAGGCCAGCTCCGCCATTACACACAAGATTTCTGCCTTCAACCGACCCGATCCGAGACCGTCACTTTTGGCTCCTCCACACTCCCAACCCCCACGGCACGCTGTATATCGACGAAGGAGCCCACAAAGCGCTCCTTAACAAGGCTGGTCTGCTCCCCGTTGGTGTAGTAGACGTCGAAGGGAACTTTGCCCAGCAAGAAGTCGTCCGGCTCATCGTAGTCAGCCGACGATCGGCTCCCGGCCCAGATGGGAAGCGCTGGGAGGGCTTGGGATTGGAAGTTGGACGGGCTCTGGTCAACTATGCCGCCCCCGAAATCTCGAGGATCTTGGGCCATCAGAGTACGGAGATCCGAGGCATACTAGGCTATGCGGACAGTGAATATGTTGCGCACCGTTCACACATTGGGATTTTTAGGGCGGAGAGCAGGTCTGCGACTCCGACGAGAGAGTTGCGCTAGTCGAGTAATGGGTTTTCATATAGATTGATTTATGACTGGGTAGAGGATAAAAGCAGGATCAACTGGAATTTAGCCTCTTTGAATGCAGGAATGAGTGGTGGATAAAATCAATGGCAGCCCGACATACATACACATGTTTACCTGCCTTCCATGGTAGACTTACATATTGACCCCTGTGACAGATCAAATGGTTACATTTGGCAGGGACCTCTCAAAGTTGAAGAACGAACAAAGCATACGATGAGGATATGAGTCTACAACAAGACTCGTCTTCTATTTCAGTGTCTAGGTTAGCAGTGTTTTATCATCTCCCTTACTCCCAGCTGTACTACTCGTATGCGTGTATAATAGAACTCATCAAGTGAAGGTTGGTGGTTTAGCGCTTCAACCCGCTCTAGAACTAGCGCTCTCTCTAGATAGCGTGCAGCAGCCGAAGCCGGGGCGCTGTAAAAGAGTCAATCGGCCACTGCAATGGAAGGTTAGATCCCTGGTGGGCCGCCGTTGGAGTCACACGCGGGCACACACGAAAATTGTCTACTCGTAGATGTTTCTCCCCCTCCATCGTCCAACCCCACCATTCCGTGCCAGAGGAAATCCAGTGCGGCCCGAGTTTTTGTGACTCGCGCCCTCTTTCCTCCATCGTCAAAAACTCTTGGTGGATGAAGCCAATTCGACATTTGCTCTCCTCTCCAGCAACAGCAACGCTCGTCCGCCTCAGATCCGGACTCGCCCCGCGCCAGACTCGGACTCGCACTCGGCCTGCCGCAGTGCCGTGCCGTCGCAACTTGTCAGCCTCTTCAAAGCTTTGCGCATTCCAGCCTCTCAAGCCGCAGAAACAGAACCCAAACCACAAACCCGGCGCCATGTCTTCGTCCGCCACGACTCTCAAGGGCCAGCCCCTGGACAAGGCCGTCCTCGACGCCATGCTGCGGCGACGCATGTTCTACACGCCCTCCTTCGAGATCTACGGCGGCGTAGGTGGTCTCTACGACTACGGCCCGCCAGGCTGTGCCCTGCAGGCCAACATCGTCGACCTGTGGCGGAAACACTTTGTCCTGGAGGAGGACATGCTCGAAGTCGACTGCACCGCCTTGACTCCCCACGATGTTCTCAAGACCAGCGGCCACGTCGACAAGTTTGCCGACTGGATGTGCAAGGACCCCAAGAACGGCGAGATCCTGCGAGCCGACCACTTCGTCGAGGCCATCCTCGAGGCTAGGCTCAAGGGCGACAAGGAGGCCCGTGGCCAAAAGGTGGAGGAGAAGGAGGTCGATCCCAAGAAGAAGAAGAAGGCCAAGTCCGCGGCCGCCGTTAAGCTTGACGATGCCGTTGTCCAGGAGTACGAGGAGGTGCTCGCCAAGATCGACAACTATGGCGGCCCTGAGCTCGGCGAGCTTATCAAGAAGTACGACCTCAAGAACCCCGAGACTGGCGTGCTTCCCTCAGAGCCCGTGGCCTTCAACCTCATGTTCCAGACGTCCATCGGACCGAGCAGCAACCTCCCGGGATACCTGCGTCCCGAGACTGCTCAGGGCCAGTTCCTCAACTTTGCCAAGCTTCTCGAATTCAACCAGTCCCAGATGCCCTTTGCCTCGGCCTCCATCGGCAAGTCATACCGAAACGAGATTTCTCCCCGTGCCGGTCTCTTGCGTGTGCGAGAGTTTTTGATGGCTGAGATTGAGCACTTTGTCGACCCTGAGGGTGGCAAGAAGCACAGCCGCTTCCATGAGGTTGAGGACGTCGAGCTGGTCCTGCTGGACCGCCACGTTCAGCTCTCTGGAAAGACTGAGACGAAGAAGATGACCATTGGTCAGGCCGTCAAGAACGGCGTCGTCGACAACGAGACTCTTGGATACTTCCTTGCCCGTATCCACCTCTTCATGAAGAGAATCGGCGTCGACCTGTCCAAGATGCGCTTCCGACAGCACATGGCCAACGAAATGGCCCACTACGCCACCGACTGCTGGGACGCCGAGCTGTTGACCTCGACTGGCTGGGTCGAGTGCGTTGGCTGTGCCGACCGCAGTGCCTATGACTTGACCGTCCATGCCAAGAAGACTGGCGCTCCCTTGGTCGTCCGTGAGCGACTCGACGAGCCCAAGGTCATTGAGGAGTGGCAAATCGATATTCAAAAGAAGAAGTTTGGCCCCCTATTCAAGAAGGATGCCAAGACGGTGGAGACTGCCTTGGAGGCTACCTCGCAAGAGCAGCGTGAGAAGCTGGCCAAGGAGCTGACCGAGACTGGAAAGATTGTCCTGGACGTGGAGGGCCTTGCCGATGGTAAGGCCGTCATCGACAAGGACTCTGTCGTTATTGAGTTCCGCAAGAGAGTGGAGAACACTCGCGAGTTCACGCCCAATGTCATTGAGCCGTCATTCGGTATTGGCCGTATTCTCTACTCGCTCATTGAGCACAACTTCTGGACCCGTGCCAGCGATGGTGGTGATGAGTCCCGTGGTGTATGTATCTCTCCCCCCTTGTTTTTTTTTTTTTTTTTTTCACATGAAGCGATTGTTGAACAATTTACTAACGATGAATTTCGTTTTGCAGGTCCTGTCTTTCCCGCCTACCGTGGCCCCGACCAAGGTCCTCCTGGTGCCCCTGTCATCCAACCCGCAATTCAAGCCCGCAGTCAAGGCTCTTTCTCAGAAGCTGCGAAGCCTCGGTGTCTCCAGCCGTGTAGATGACTCCTCTGCCAGTATCGGTAAGCGATACAGCCGTAACGACGAGCTTGGCACGCCGCTTGGCATCACCGTCGACTTCCAGACCCTTCAGGACGGCTCCATTACCCTGAGAGATCGTGACTCGACCACCCAGGTCCGAGCCGAGGAGAGTAAGATCCTGGATGCCATTAAATCACTTGTAGATGGCAGCAAGAACTGGGAGGCGGTTGCAAGCGAGCTCCCCAAGTTTGAGGGACAGGAGATTGAGGTCGCCGTTCGATAGATGGCTAGAGTTTAGATCTAGATGATGGAAAGAAGATGATTTGATGAAGAACAAATCAAAGAAAAGTTCAATCTCATATAGTTGAGAGTCGGTTATATGTCATGTTTGCTTTGTGCAGGAAGATTTGTCAGTGGCTTCAGACAGAAAAGGTCTATTAGAGAAGAATCTAACAGATGTACAAGCATTACCATGCTACGGTGTTACAAGGTATGAACTGTTTGTTACCCTGTAAGCCGAACGGTATTGGTGATGACTAGGTACGCAAACAGGCGGCGGAGACTAGGTTCTGTGGTAGATCGGCATATGTAGCTAACAACATGAGGAAACCTGCATACTCGTACATACCTATCGAAACGGTTGCCGAAGTATCCCTGTCGCTCCATCTTCATTGGGCGGAGGGGCTGCTCGCGCGCGCGTACTCGTACATACTTGGTACTACTACGATGTGTTGGTGATAGCTACACACGTTGGCTATTCTCTCCTCTAACATGACAGCCTCGTGAGCCTACAGTACGAGTATATGCTGTAAGCTCCGAGGTTTGTGTAATTCCACATCGTGTAAACTCGGGCTTAAGCATGGGAGGTGGGTGCCACGAACCAATGCGAAAAGGGCTGTCCCTAGCGGGCTAGTTTTGTGATTTATCGGCCGCATTGAATAGGGAAAAGGTTGGATATCAGAGCAGGCTGACTCGTTGGACTGCCTCCCCTCACCCCCTATCCCCCCCTTTGGTTAGTTGGTTAGGTAGCCTCCCCTGCCTGGTCTATTTTGACGTGATCGCCAGTTTGACTGTGAGAGGAAAAGCAGAAGTCAAACAAGGACGAGAAGGGAGAGAACGTGAAGCCTAGTTCACGTCACAGTGGGAAGCTCCCGCTGCCTCCCATGCTAGCCTTGCTCGCCTTGCTTGCCTATGACGATATATCAATTATGTATTTGTCAACCTTGAAACTTTATTCACCCAGCTTCAAGGAGGTTCTTGTTTGCGGGACGCATGAAACATTTTGATGAGAAGGATGAGCGTGCTCCGAACTGACAGGGCAGGGTTCAGGATTGGCACTTGTCCCCCAAGATAGTCTCATGCTGCTATATGGAGATAATTGCCTTCCCCCCCTCATTGACCCGGAAATGCGTGCACTGGTCCATCGGTAGAATGCAAGGCCCAGCTGACAATACAAACGAAGAAAAGAAAAAAGTCTCCGCGTTGATGATGGCGGATCCTTCCATCCTTTCGGGATGGAGACTGTGAAACACACAGGGTGACTTTGGAGATGCCACGAGGCACGCATCCGCGTTGGAGTGTTTGCTTGTGATGGCATCTGCGACGCTCCTGAAGCTTCAGACGAAAAGCGGAGAAGGGACTATCACTTTACGAGTACACTGAATGCTGGCACTCGATAGGACGGCATGTCTTGATCTGAAGCATCGAATGGGCGCGGATCAACGAATGGGTTGGCTACGGACCCCCGAAAGTTTCTGAGTGGCGAGACTTGCTGCTGGTGGGCGACGTGCCGAGGAAACAAACGCGGTGGCGTGCAAGTGCATGTCTGCAGTTGATGGATTATTCCCGTCGATGGGCTCCGAGCCGTCAATTGGATCGTCAAGTGCCCTTTGTTGGATTCAAATTCAAACCACGGACGATGCTGCAAATTGCTGGTCCTTGGTGTCCCGCTTCCGGCTGTCTGTCTGTAACAATGATTTCAGGTGAGCGGACAACAGTGCCGCGTTAGGGCCTAGTGCTTGCAGCCACCCACTAGCAATCCCCCCTGGAGGGACCCCAAGGAGTCCCCCCCCGACTCCCCTAACGGGCAGCGTCCAGCCATCCTCAGGGGTATCGCCTGGTGGCGGCAAATCCACCTGCAGCGCTGCTTGGCGACCCCACCTCCCACCTGCCCACCTCGACTTTCTGGCCAGTAACGGGTGTGGCCTTTCCGCGCTGGCCTTGTCGCGACCTTCCCCACACTGCTGTTTCTCCATTGCCCTCACCACGAAGGTACCGGCGCGAGAAGTCGAGGCGTCGAGGCAATACTTTGAGGGTCATAGTGTGTGTTATGGGGAGGCGTGTACCCGTCGCATCGCAAAGGATGCTGGGAGGTACCGCGCAAGAAGAGCCTTGACCCCTATGCATAATGCAATCAATGGACCCAATGGTTCAACCTTGGTCCTGTGCTCAAGCTACCTATGGATGGACTAGCAGAGAGTAGCAACAGCCGCAGCCGCCGCCGCGGCACTGCCTGTGCAGCCCGTTTACGACGGTTGGGGTCGCAGCCACAGGCACCTTCAGCGCGCTGTAGCGGCCAGGCTGTAGCGCATCAGGTACACATCGACCTTAGTACTACTGGATGCTACTAGTGGTGGCACTCGTTCCTGAGTGGCCCAGCTGGCTGCTGAGCACGGCCAAAGGTACCCCCAGCTGTTCGTGTCGCCTCAAATCTCCTTCTTCCCACCCCATCCTCGCTTCTCTCGCCGTGCGGCCTCGCTTCTCTTCTCCCCTTCTTTTTTTGACGCCTCAGATACTGTCGTCTGCGTTAGCTGGGCTATTCGCGCAGCTCCTCGTAGAATCAGACAGACTGCCAGTCGAACCGTCTCGTTTGCACCAGACCAGAACCTCAAATCGGTCCGCCTGCGCCCTGAGCTGGTCCCTGAACGACAAGCCTTCAGCTGCGTCTGCACGCGCGCGAGAATCCCCACCCGTCCAACCGAACCGTCGTCGTGCGACTCTTGCGCGCATTCGATCGACTGCCGGCCCTCTCTTTAATTCTGCTTCTTCTTCAGTCTCACATTCTCTCTCTTCGGTTGGCCCGCCATCGTCGTCTCAAGGGGCGGCCAATTCCTCGCGCATCGTCGATACCACTCTCGCTGTTCCGCCGACGGGGTCGACGCTTTGTTTCCTTTCTTCATAGTTTCCGTACTTCTTTGTCTTGAAGCGCACAAGAGATTAGAGAAGGCACATTAAAAACAGGATACCCAAGCTTTCCCCGCTGCTTTTTATTATTATTCAGGTTTTTATATAATCAACATGGCTCAGCACAGGTACGTTTGTCAGTTTAGCACATCCATGATCACTTTCGCGGCGTCTCAGGCACGACGTCTCCATAAGCGCGCCGGGACAGTCCAGGGCTGGCCGGGCGAGATGCGAGTCGGCAAATGCTATGGATGCTATCCACCCCTCACGACGACCCAATTACTGGGATTGGGCGGCAGTTTTCCCATACCGCCAAGTGCTTATGTATGGGTGTGCTTTCTTGAGTGGCGGTCTCTCCTAGGAGGGCCCTGTCACTCAAGTTCAAACAGCCCCTTCACAAGTATAATATACAATTTGACCCTTTTCGATTGACCCCATCCCGCTCTCCTCGCCAGCTCTCAGCTGTACTACTATGAGTGCAGCGCTCAATGTCAACACATCTTTGTCGACGACGGACTTTATGCTGATAGATACATGCCATTAGTGTTTACTCGGCCAACCAGTTTATGAATCCCGGCCCTGCACCCCAGCCTCCCGACAGACCGCGTCTTGCCTTGACTCCTAACCCCAATCTTCCGGGCAGCATGGCCAACATGGCAATCTCCCCAATTCGCAGCACCGCGACGTCTACATACACTGGCTCTACCATCTCTCTCCCCATCGCTCGCCAGCAGACTAACAACACAGACGGAATGGGCGGCGTCGCTGTGAGAAAGGAGGGATGGGCCTCGATCAAGGAAAACAAGAACCTTTTCCAACCTTGGAAGAACAAGTACTTGATCCTCCGTAAGGAGGCCATAGACTTTCACAAGACTGAAGGTGGCAAGGTCGCATACTCCCTCCTTCTCAAGGACGTGACCAACGTCGGCAGAGTCGAGGCCGCAGGCAATATCTTCGAGATCAAGCGGAGAGCAGACGGATCGTCCTCTAGCCCCGGTGACGACGACGGGGAGAGCAACAAGGCGCTTCATATCAAGGTCAAGACCGAAGATGACCTGTACGAATGGATCGACTTTATTTACGGTGCCTGCCCTGGCATGGGCGGCGTGAGCAATCCGACCAACTTCTCGCACGCCGTCCACGTCGGCTTCGACCCTCAGACCGGAGAGTTTGTTGGCTTGCCGCCGGAATGGTCCAAGCTGCTCAACTCTTCGGCCATCACAAAGGAAGATTATGAACGCAATCCCCAGGCTGTTTTCGAAGTCTTGGACTTTTATACCACAGACCTTGCCAAGAAGGCCGATGACCAGTTCGGCGGCATGCCCCAAGGGGCAATGCAGAACAAGCCGATGGGTATGGGCGGTGGCACCTCAGTTGCACCTCCTCGCCCTCCCCCTCCTGGCAGCAGCAGCTCTCAGTACAGCCCCGGTGGCCAGAGGCGTCCTGAGCAGCCACGCCAGCAGATGCAAACCTCGTCACCGACCTACACCTCGGCAAGCGATGCTGCCAGGGACGAGCAAAGAAGACGACAGCGCGAGGCAGAAGACCGAGAGCGTCGCGAGATGGAAGAGTACAACGCGTCTCTCCCCAAGAACAAGGTTCCAATGTCCCAACAAGAGATTGGTGGTGGCTATGGAGGCTCAGCCGTATCCGCTGCCGACCGATTCAACCCATCCAGGGCGGCTCCCCCTGCACCCAAGGCCGCTCAGCCGATTAATGGTCTGAAAGCTCAGCGACCGGCACCTGCACCACCGACTGCTGCCGCCGGACGACCTCCCGTCGTCCCTCAGTCTAGCTCAAGCTCTGTGCCCAGAGCCCCAGCAGCTCAACGCAACGAGAGCCCCAGCTCGCGAGCTCCCAACGGTGCTGCCCAGGCACCCCAGCAAAGACAGCCTCCTTCTCAGCCTCAGGCTGCTCGTCTGCCCGCCCCTGTCAAGCCTCTCAACGTCTCCAAGGTCAACCAGAGCCAGCCGCAGAGCGAGCCCAAGCCAGCTGAGCCAGCGCCCAAGCAGACTCCCGCTGAACGCAAGCAGGATGTACGCATGTCAACTATGTCAGAGAATGAGGTCATGGCCAAGCTGAAGGAGGCTGTCTCCAAAGAAGACCCCAACCTCTCCTACTCTAAGCAGAAGAAGATCGGTCAGGGTGCCTCTGGCTCGGTATATGTTGCCAAGATCAAAGACACCGCCGTGGGTGTGGCTCGCGAGTTCCTCCGCCAGCAAGGACCCAGAGCGCAGGTGGCCATTAAGCAGATGGACCTCGCCCATCAGCCCCGAAAAGAGCTGATTGTGAACGAGATCATGGTCATGAAGGACAACCGCCACAAGAACATTGTCAACTTCCTTGATGCTTTCCTCCGAAACAACAACGCGGAACTTTGGGTTGTCATGGAGTTCATGGAGGGAGGTGCCTTGACTGATGTCATTGACAACAACCCCTCAATCTCAGAGGAGCAGATTTCTACCATTTGCCACGAGGTATGGCCCCCTGTCAGTAGATTGTGTGAGACGACGACGCTAACAGTGACTAGACTTGCCGAGGCCTGCAGCACCTGCACGCTCAGAGCATTATCCATCGTGATATCAAGAGTGACAATGTCTTGTTGGATGCCCGAGGAAACGTCAAGATTAGTAAGTTTTTCAAACACCACACCCTACTTGAGAAGACGAGGCCGGATATGGATGCTAACAACTACACAGCTGATTTCGGATTCTGTGCCAAGTTGACAGAAGCCAAGTCCAAGAGAGCCACCATGGTCGGAACACCCTACTGGATGGCACCAGAGGTTGTCAAGCAGAAGGAATACGGGCCCAAGGTTGATATCTGGTCTCTGGGTATCATGGCAATTGAGATGATCGAGTCCGAGCCGCCTTACTTGAACGAAGAGCCCCTGAAGGCTCTTTACCTCATCGCCACCAACGGAACGCCCCGCCTCAAGAAGCCCGAGAAGCTGAGCAAGGAGCTCAAGGCCTTCCTTTCCGTCTGCCTGTGCGTCGACGTCAAGAGCAGAGCCTCTGCGGACGAGCTGTTGGCTCACGATTTCCTGCAGCATGGCAGCGGTCTCGCCAGCCTGGCAGAGCTTCTTGCCTTCAAGCGCAATGCAAAATAAAGGAGGAGGATGTCGAATTTGCGAGTGTTTGAAAACGAAAAGAGAAATGAGTACTGTCAAGTCCAGATGTTGGTGGCCCCTTTTGTCCGTTGCTTTGCTATCTTGGCAAGGCAATGGTTGGCCCTCATGACCCTTGAATCATTTTCTTTGGTGCATTGGCGTTTTTTGGTTGAGATTCACTCTACTACACATTTCTTGCTCTGTGCCTGCCTGCGAGTTTGCACGATCCTTTTTTTACTTCTTCGCTTCTTCCTTTTTTTTATTTAAAAGATATCTGCATGATTTAATCAAGAGACGAGGCCTACGGGAATCCCTGGGACTTGGATAGAAAGACGAGTCTTGAGGAATAGTTACTTCCTGAACGAGTTTACATGACGGGGGTGGCTACCACGGCTCCACGCTTTGTAGATGTACATTTATACGATATAGAATGAATAAACGGGTGTTGTAATGAGTGTCACTTGTGGTTGTGCCCTATCGCATCAATCGTCCCCTGATCCGATCAAATCATGACGGGAACTAATACGGTCTCTAAAGCGCGTATCAGGGATGTTCATTAGCTACCTGAGGAAGATGGTTCAATCTGGGCGTGTTTCAGAGATTGATGTTGTGTGAAGTAGATCCCCCTAACAACCACGTAAGCCGATGTAATTGGCGGGGATCGGCGGCAATGTTTGTAGATGATGTGAGGGATGGCCAATGGCAATATAAAAGTCGGATACGGAGTACTGGGGAGATAAGGGGGGGCTTTGGGGACTATTTTAGCTGGGCAAAGAGCGGGTTTAGAGAGCATTTGGTATCAATCGAAAATAAGGTACGTGGCTCTCCTGCCTGTAATATAATGGCGATTTGGGCGATTGTTTCAAACGAAGTGATTTCCAGATGACGAGGCAAATAGTGGGGGTTTGGCATGGATTAGTATGTTGCTCCAGGTATTATAATTCTTACTCTGAAGATGACTTGGACATGAATATGGAAATGGCTAGATATTGGAGGCCCATTGCATACGTCAGGCGGTTGCGTTGACTGAATGAGAAGGACAAGAACTTGAGACACCAGTACGGCTCGATCGGCGCGCCAGATATACATAGATTTGGGTTGGATGACCGAAAATCGACTCGCGGGGTTCCCGATTTTTCCGGTTTCTTCTTCTTTCCGATTCTTTGCTCTGGAATACTACAAAGTCTAGGAGTGGAGAGACGAAAAAGAAAAGGGTGATGGTAACGACTCAGTTTTGCCGTGGGCACTTTAGGAACTGGGCTGGGTTTACGCCTCGTAATAGCATGTCTGTTACTTGTCAAGTATTGACCCACGAGTATGAGGCACGGATACTAGAAGAATTATATATCATGTGCGTATACGTTAATTGACATGTAAGGGGGCATGCAGCAGTTATAGTTGTAGTCTGTGCTTTCATGTGGCATGTCCCTTGCAGGTGTCACTGCAGCATGAAGATGATGCACGACTGGCCCCATGTTTTGGTGAGTTGCGGGTTTCGTTCCGGGTGGCATGTGCTGCTACAGCGGCAGCGGGTACCTAGAATTACAATGGTGGCTCTATTACTTAGTACTAACTTACCTGTACTAAGGCACTAATCAAGCCAGGTTTTTGAGGTATTATCAACCACGGGACATCCCATTGCACGATGTGTGGTCCCCGGCGGGACGGAAAACGTTCTCGTACATGGATATGGAGTTCATGGAGTCGATGACAGAGATGCCCTAAAGCTCGTGGCGGGATGGGCGGATCGCATGTACGGGACTGGAGGCGATGTTCATTACTCGCAGTCGGCAGTGATACCGATATTGTTGCTGTTGCTGTTATTGTTGCTGCCAGGTGAGAATAAAAGACAGGCATCACTTATTTCTTGACATATTTTAGTAATAGTAGGATAATTAAAGGTGATTTACGACGGCGAAACGCGGCAAAATCGAGGCCGGGGAAGGCCCTGTCAATGCTAATCGGTGCGGAGAGAAGCGAGGCCGTGTCTCTCCCCTCATCCTCACCGTGTGGTGCTCTGCTAAGGGCCGACCTAGTGTGTGTCGGGACAATGGAGACGGAGGGGGAGAGAAAAAAAGAAGGAAAAAGAAAGACGAGAGGGAAAGAAAAAGGGGACAAGAGAAAGCCATTGGCCTGCTGCAAATCTCACCACCTGCTCCCTACATGCATAGTGCATATGACAGCTATTACTAGTAGTAGTAACAGCAGCATCCATCCTATGGCGAGTAAGAGCTCAGTTAATAAGGGACCTGGCCTGGCCTATTAATACCAATGGAAGCCAAAGCTGTTGGCTCCCGCGTTTCAAGAACACTTGGAGGGCTGATGTCGTCTGTCACAAAACAAGCAGCCTTTCCCTTCGCAGCGCTTCCGCTGGTCGCTAGACTTGAAGGGGTAACATCTCAGGGGCACGGCACGCACACACGAGATGGTGCAGTATTTTGCCTCTACGGAGTACTGGGTGGTCGGGAGGCTCCAATGATGCTGGCCTCGTACTATTCTATTGTAAGCAACTCCATACAATTGCAGAGCAAAATAACAGCTGACACGCTGCGAGCCCCCCCCGTCAGTCACCTCTCACCTCAGTTACCGCTCAACTGTGTTTTTGTCTCTTCTCAGATGGTGCAATTCGTTGCAATCACGGGTGCCAATTGCCGTCCGCAAGATTAGTAGCTGGAGTACCATGAAAACATCCATCTTCATTTCGTAGTAGAATTGAAGTATATCGTAGCAGGATACCAAGGTAGATACCTGGCAGCACCGTGTCACGCACCAATATTCGCACGCAGCGGGATGGTGCAAGGTACAACGCCGCAGGTATCTGCTCCGCCCCAACGCAGCAGCCCAATACCTGCATCCCTCCGGGGCTCCAAGTACATGTACCGCCATCCCACACCCAACACAGCGCAACCACCAATGGTCCCCCAAGGAGCATCGACGTCGACTTTTTTTTCGCAACTTCTCCCTCTTGCAGGCTCCAAACCTCTCCCTCCTCCACCCTCAATGAGGCCTGTATATTGATCACGACTTTGTTTCTGCCTCGTCTTCCCTTTTCCCTCCTCCGCGCCCGCGACTCTGCTCTGCCTGCACCGGCCCTGGGCGGCAATTCTTCGCTAAAAGCTCCATCCCCATCCCCATCCCCATCCTGGGTCGCCGACTTTCCGCACACGAGCCAGCGGAGCAAATCCTCGCAACTCTCTTGTGCCTCCACCCCGTTTCTCGACGCTGAGGAGGTGTTAGTCCAGTTTTTCTCGCAGCATCATATTGTAATACAGGCTACTGGATCTTTTCTTCTTCTTTTGCCGTTTCCTGGCTGCACTCACTTTTTTTTTTCTCACTCCCCTCTCACATCTGCATCGTTGCCTCCCCCCGGCACCGCTCAAAAGAAGCCACCACGTCACCTTGGCCTTTTTTTTTCCCTTGACCGATTGACTTTCAAGACCAGCTTCGACGAGCATCGACTCTTCATTCATCGCATTTCCACCTGACGAGCGGCGTTTCCCACTCGACAAGTAATATTCATAGTGCATTCTGCAAAGAAAGAAAACAAAATACATAATTTTACGGCGCCGTATTTCCATGCGGCCACCTGGATAATCGATAATGTCAGCTTCCAGATCCGACCATTTGGCACTCGGCTATTCCTCGCACTCTGCCAGCCAAGGCCGTTCCAACTCTCCCTCCACCACAAACTCGCCAATCGATCCCTTGTCGACGAGATCAGTCTTTGGCCTTGCTGGCGGCTTGAACTCAAGTAGCATTATAGCTAGCAACACGCGATCCGGGGCTGGTTCTCCGTCGCACGAGATGGCGGCTTCCAGCCGGCTCTATTCCAAAAGGTTCGTGGCACTCCAAGAGCTCCGCCTCCTTCCAATCCGATGAGCATCAAGAAGACCCTATGTGGTTGAAGCGTGTGGCGTTTGAATTGCAATAAGAAGCTAATTCATATTCTTTTTTTTTTTTCTCCAGGGCCCGCGAGATTCAAGCTCAAGAAGGTGTTCCTGGCCTCCCTCTCAACCCTTGGGGCGGGCCACCGACAAGTGGGAACTCGACTCCTCTCCGAGAAAACATCCCCGAGTCTCCCACCGACGGCTTTCCAGACTTCGTCCAGCTACCTACGCCCGAGACCTTGCCTCCCACCAGACGGGCTCGGGCTGGTACCGTCCCCTCGCGATTCCCCGGTGGCATTGGCAACAATCTGCTAGCCGTACCTGGGCTGCCAGCCAAGTCTGCTCGCGTTACGCCTTCTCAGAGCCCGTTCAACAAGTCGCCATCCCCCAGCATTGAGCCACCTGAGAAGAACAACGCCGGCACCTCGACTCTTCTCTCCAGGCTTCGTGCTGGGTCTATGCCACAGCGTAGCCCATTTGCCAACCTGCCTACTTCGGCTTCACCTTTCGGCCCCTCAATCTTCAGCAGCTGGAACCCCTCCGGTCTTGGCCGCGAACGAGGTTCTACTCTAGCCAGCATCGCCAGTGTTGGCTCCAACGGCCCTAGCTCGCCAGCCCAGTCTCAATTCTCCAGAGAGGGTGGCGGAGAGTCCGACGTGCACATGCGGACTTTGGATTACCTTGGTCTTGCTGAAACCCCACAGCCTGCGAGAGCTCAGCTTGCCACGCCATCTTACATTTCCAACTTTGACATGACCCGGCACGCCAGTCGCTTCCGTTCCTACTCTGTCAACAACAAGGACAAGTATGCTGACGAGGACGAGGATGACTATGACGCCGACATGCCAATGGACAGCCATTATGCCGCGCTGCAGGATCAACTCGCGGCCACTCAAGCGGCCATCCACAACCACAACATGGCTGTCCGGGCCTTTGCGACTCAGGCCACACGGCCGCGTGCCCGCACCGCTGGTGTCTTGGACACACCTGGAAGCCGCTTGGTGGGATCTTACGGCAACAGCAACGCTGGCGCAGGCAACAACTCTATCCCCCAAGCGGAGATACGCTTGCAGGATGAGGACGAGTACGACGACATCTCACAGGCGGTCGCTG